ATCACTGAAGGATGGGGAGGGGCACACTTATTTTATCAAAACAATGGAAGCTTCAGACGTCTCATAAAGTATATATACTCTTGATCAGCATCAAATTGTAAATCGATTTAAATTGTTCCGTCCATCCGTCCGCCTCTCTGTTTAATGTTTATTGTAATCATTCTTCAGGTGACAAACGCGCACCAATCATCTTCAAATCTGGCATAAAGATTGGAAGTTCTAGCACGCAGGTTGGTACTGAAATTGAACCACTGAATTGAGCCACGGCATGCGATCGTAGTGCATTATTCCCGTTGATTTCTTGCTCGTCACTTATAAACCAGAACAGACACCACGATAAAAGGGTGAATGGTCCTCCAGAAAAAATCGGCCACGCCTTTTTAATATTATAGGATATTGAACTTTCAGTCTTTGGTTAAAATGGTTGGATTTTGCAGAAAGAAACTTCAGAGACCATATAAAATCTACATATTATTGATAAGTATTAAATAGTGATGAGTATAAGGGACTTGGTTGTATGGGGACCAAAGGGTCTCTAAAGCGCCGATTATGCGTTACAAACATTCCGCTTTTTATATTCTGCTTCGTAAATGAGAATGTTTAGGAGAGCGAGAAAAATTTAGTTGAAATAATGGCGACACATGGTCACCTATTTCTGTATGCGCATATACGTGTACTCGCATGTTCAGAGGATATTGTGTCTGTAGTAAGTTGTTAGTGCATAACTTAGATTGAGAATGAAAACAATAGTAACAATTTTCAACTTCAATGCAGACCTATAGTGCAATAATAAATTTATAAAAAAAAAAAAAAACAACAGTAACAATAATACCCGATACAATAATAAAAAAGAATACAAAATTAAAAACTGAATTTAAAAACAAAAAAAAAAAAAAAGAGAAAGATAAATATATTCAGACATATTCAGACGAACTCTGACTTCATCATCCACATGAAGTCATGCAACATGCAACATTTTTACTCTTGATATATATATATATATTTTTTTATACATAAAGAGGTAGAAAAAAAAAAGTAAATAAATAGAAAAAAACTCGTAAACGAAATCGAATGAATAAAAAGCCACAAGCCAGGCATATATACATTTATGAGGTGGCGTTTAACACCATTTTATAGGCTGAGCTTTTTTTTTTTTTATTTTTTTTTTTATTTTTCTTTCATTATATTTACGGGATACGTCTAGATAGGTATATATATATATATTTTCGTAATCGTTATAAAGTGTATCGTGTCTCTGCTTCCATAACGATTCGAAAAAACAGACAAAAAATTGAATATTTTTGTGTATACATGCGCGGGCAAGAATAATAAAAAACATTCACATATGTGCCTAGCAGTCTGTCTGTCTGTCTGTCTATCTTGTTGCTTGCCGGGCTGCATGCGTGCCTGTCTGTTTGCCGGTCTGTCTACATGTTGTAGAAGTTTTTGTTTTTTTCTCTTGTTCTTGTTGTTCTGTTCATTATAAACACCACCCGCAATGTAAATGATTTGCTGGAAAAATTTTATTTTTAAATTTATTTTATATTGAGAGTCTTTACACTTGTTCGAAGGATTTTTCTTAGTGCAAAAAACATAAATTAAAAAAAAAAAAAATTATTTATTGGATTTCGTAAACACATAAATTGTAGTTTTTTTTTTTTTTGTAATATTTTTTATTTATTTACTTTTTTTTTTGCCAAAACAAGTATTTTATATGTGGGCATTGGCTGATAACTTTGTTTCTAGATTCTCTTCTACTACTATATTACAGTAAAGCTGGGTGTAGCTAGTTTTCCTTTTTTTTTTGTCCGATTTTCCATTACTTAAAGATCGGGTTCACCTTGCGGTCATTGTTGTTGTTGTTGTTGTTATTGTTGTTGTTTGCTATTTCTTTTTTTCTTTTTTTTACTTCGGATAATAAAAACATAAAAAGGAATAGCTTTTGCGTTGCAGTTGTTGTTGGCTTAAAGTACATATTTATTTTATACAAGGTTGAATGATATCCAGAATATAAACATGTAAACATCAAGTTGCGTTTCTTTTTCTGTCCGCCTTTTATCTATTAATTTATTAAACTTTTGCTTTTTTATACATTCCACAGCGAATGAAATGTATATTAATTGCATCGGATTTTTTGTTAATTTTGAGAAAAAAGTTTTATTTCTTAGAGTAAAGCAGTTTTGGTATAAAGTATATTAAGTTTGTGTGGATGAATGTAACACCGAAAAGGGCTTAAGATAACAATCGATTTAGCATCATTGCCTTAAACAATCTCAGCTTGTCTCTCCGTCTGCCCATGTTTTTTATTTTTCTCAACCCACAGGTAGCAATTTGCAAGGCGTTTGGATGAAATTTGAAACGCTCGACCGTCGACAGCGGTTCGGATCGCACAACTTATTCGACACACTTCCAGTCTAACGCCTGGTTTTGAAAATTCGCTATAGGGAAAACAATTAGAATTTTTAAAATTTCTCGACAAAAGACGTTGGTTAATGGTATTTCAACGTTCTAAACTGGTATTAATAAAATTTGATTCGACTGGGGCAATTTTTTGAACCTCTCTCCGAACTTTCTTTCATATAAGCGTTCCTGCAGAAATTGTAGCTTGATGTGGCAACAATCAATTTTCCAATCGAATTTTCGATATATTGATTCATATACGTAAATAGACAAAGAAATCAACCTTACCGAAATTGGCCGGCGTAGGTCTGTTTTTTGAGTACCATCGCATAAAAGGATTCTTGGGAAATTTAAACTCTTATATGCTAAGAAGGCATAACTGTTAAAGTTTTACGATGAAAATTTGTAAGAATTAAATGAACCAAATTTGAACGGCATGTCTATTTCTTGGACCTCACAGCTTTTAAGATTTCTCATGAATAGTAAGCCGTTCAGAAAAAGGTTTACTTTTTAATACTTTGTATGACGAAAATTGGTCCATAGTAGCAATTTGACGAAACCACTGCCGGTAAACAATCTGGATCAGACAAGTCTTTTTTTAGATATGTACGGGTTACTTTGAAAAGCAAGCCCTTATATGGAGACAAATTCTAGTTTGTAGAAACTTAAAAATAATAACCATCGTTAGGAAGTAAACTAAGTTTGCTAAACTTAGACCACAAGCCATCTGATGCTTTGGACATTCCTCAATATGCGATCTTTCATGGAAGGTTCATAAAGGCCTCTGCAGGAAAATAATATGTAATATTTGATGCGTTATTACCAAAACGAATGAACAATTGTATTTGGCAAAATAACGTAGGGTACTTGATTGTCGCCCTTGCCCAACTGTAATATTTTTACTCGTTTTCTTTTTGCGCTTGTTTACCTAAGTAACCTTTTATTACTTAAGATCATAAAAAATGCGATAAATCCGAACCCTTATGGCATGTGATTATAAAATAAGTTAAGTTCGCTCGGTTAAGCGAAAGCCGACCAGAACGAGAGCTTAAAGTCCTCGTAACGCAACTCATGTTGACCCCTGCGTACGTTATGGCTGCTTAACCGTAATTAACACAAATGAATGTCTTTTGAATGAATTCGTATTCACTTATGTACGGTTATCGAAAAGAAATAAAAATGAAAAAAATGCGTTTGGATGGATCCGGTCATACCCAATATAGTCATAGTTACTTTACCTAATCTTTAATCTACGCTTGTATGAAAGAAAAATTGAAGATCATTGATCGCAATGTGAGCTCGTGTCGTTGTGATTTTTTACGCATTGTCAGGGACGACGAGGAAATGCATTTGTTATGCTTATTGAAAAGAAAGTTCACTCAAATATTCAAGAATATTCAAGGGTCAATGATCAGTGATCAGTGCATACATTGGCATGCCGTAGTAACATAACGTTCATCTTAAGATATTTTATTTATTTACTTTTCTCTATTTGCTCCCTATCATCAGATAATATTTTTGCCCTCTTCACTTAATTTTAATTAAAGACAATTGAGTTCAGTTCAATTCAAGTTATATGGGACAGTCTAGTATAGTGTAAAAAAAACACAATATTCTTGTCCATCATATGATTCAGACTTAGACATTTAACTGTATGAAATGACTTCATTCGTGGCTCAGAAAAAAAAAACATAATAATAATAACCAATAACTTTAACTCATGAGTGTCCAACATGTGTTAATAAAGGAGATAACGAATTCTCGATCTTTATATCCTACACCACTTGTGGTACGAGGACATATTAACTCTATGTGGATGTATGCAATACCCAAAAGGACTTGAAATGGACCCATCTCTTATTATACCGATCCATTCAGGGTCATTTTCCGAGTCAATCCAACTCTGTCTGGGCGTCTTGTGTCTTTATATGAAACTTGCAAGTCGCAATTTTCGAGATATTTTGATGAAATTTGGCACGCCGATCGTTTTTGGTAATGGTTTTTTCGACCATCTCGGCCTATTTTTCGGATTTTCCCCTAATAAGGATTTTCGCGAAAATTGATCCTTTCCATAGCAGAAAAGTCTGGATAATTTTTTGAACCATCTACGCCTATTTCTGGATCCTCCAGCATGTGGGGGTTCAACTTGTACGGCATTAGGTTGCATTTTGGCCCCCCTTTCTCCATAAATACGCACATGAAGAATCTGCTTTTATATAGAAACATGATCTCATTTTTGTGTTGTACAATAAAAATAAGAATTGTGTTAAACAATGTGCTGTAGGGTATTTAAGAGTCGGCCCTGCCCGACTGTAGTCTTCTCACTTTTTTTTCTTTTTCAATTCCAATATTTGAATAAGGAGCGGTTTCAATTGTTTTTGCAAAGTGCTTTTGCAAAGCTTTGGGAAATCCTGTCATATATATATATATATATGGCTAGGCAGCTTCTAGCTAATTAAAATGAATTAAAATACAAAACGATTACGATTCTTAAATTTCTTAAATTTTTTTTTTTTTTTTTTTTTTGTGACCAAAATTTACTTCAAGCATTTCATGCATTAATAATAACCTTCAACGTTTTTGTGTTTGTGTGTTTTCAGTGTGAATACCAAATGAGGAAAAAAGAAAACAAAAAAAATAAATAAAAAAAGCAGAAAACAGAAGAATCTTAAACACATCGATATGTAAAGCTGCAGGAGACCGATATATTTTACCCAGCCCAGCATGTGATTATGTTTTTTTCTAAAGTGATATTAACATATCGTGTTATTTAAAACATTTATTGCGGAATGTTATACTAAACAGCAGCTATAGGCTTAAGTATCAAGTGCATTAAAAAAACTGATATTATCGCTGTTGCTGCTACGGATCTATAACAATAATGTGAAAATTCTTATAAAGAAGAGATTTTTCCTTAAAAAAAAAGTTGAAAAAGAAATATTTACTCAATCTATGGTTGAATAAGAAATTAAGAGAATGAAGCGCATCTGTCTAATGGCACTTCGATTAACGTATATGTGTTAATTTAAATAAAACTTTTGTATTTAAAAAAGTAACATTTAAAATCCATCAATTTTTACATTACATCCATCTATCCTGCATAAGAAAAATATTTATTTCATCGACGGCTGCTTAATACTAATAAATCATAAGTAATAAAACTACAATGGATTCGGATCTCGTTTCGCAAACAACCAAAGATGATGAAATCACGCAGTTTATATGTGGTAAGTTTATTTAATGGAAAAAATTTAAAAAAAATGTTTTTTTTTTTTTCTAAAATATTTTCTAACCGAATTTTTCTCATTCACTTGACTTTTGTAAAACGTCATCAGGTTCAAGGAAACCTTAGCCTTAACGACACGTGTTAACAATCGTCTCTTGTTAGCCTTAGTTTTGAAGAAATTTCCTTTATCTAAACTCTGACTGAATATTTGTAATGAGCTTAAATGACCCTTTCTTTGCTCTAAAGTGTTATAATTTCTTAATATCTTATGCTTTGCTTACCCAAATTAAATATGTGGATATTATATGTGTGTAACTGTTTATCATGTCTTTTTTTATACCATACTTTAAAGGAAGATGAAGTTAAAACAAGTAAGAAAATTAAATTCGGTTACGACAGAATCTTTTATATCCATCACCGTTTACCCCAAAAAAAGACAGAAGAGAGCTGAAAGAACAAAATTCTTATACTCTATAATATGGAATGGGCGCGGTTGATTTCTTCTATTTTCAAAATAAAAGTTTTTTTGTATAGGATTGTGGGCATTATAGGCGTGTCCTTTGAAAAGTTTTGGTCAAATTCTTCTGCAAAATGGGAGAATATGTGCCACATGTACTATAAAGTTGCGTAAACAGGCAGATGGGCAGACGAATAGGTGTACATGTTTAGGTGCAATCCAAAATTGAAACTGGCGAAGAATATATATATACTTCATAGAATTTTTGAAGCTTACTCCTGCGCCTTGTAAAGATAGCGAAAAAATAATTCATTTTTGATACACTATAATATTGGGTAGGCGTGGTCAAATTTCACAAATGGTACAGCATCATCCATAGAATATGCGTTCAAATTTTTGTACCTTTATTTGCTATAGTTTGTGACTAATGAGCAAAAGACCAATTTTTGAAAAACAGAGACGTTCTCCGTTTACATGGTACTGTGGGCATGCCTTTCGACCTATTTGGCTCAAGAAGATGTTTACAGCATACATTATACAGACGGACAGACGGACAGAGGGACATGCTTAAATCGATTTAGAATTTGATGCGGATCGAGAATATATATACTTTGTGGATGCTGCCTTCTAGGCGTTTCAAACGTTGTAACAAAATGAATATATTTTCGATATATCCTTCGATGTTGGGTACACACAAGAAGATTCTTTTTATACCATATATCACTTGTTATACAGAGTATATTAAGTTTATACGGACGGTTGTTACCGCAAGAAGGATTCGAGATAGATTCACTTTTTATTACTCAGAGTCATTTTCTGAATCAATCTAAGCGCTATCTGTCCGTCTGGCTTTCTCGTTTTCAACTAACAGGTCGTAAATTTTAGAGATATTTTGATGAAATTCGGCACGCTTTCGTGTTTTGGCCCAGAATGGTTCAGAACGAACGACGCTAAACTATTACAGTAACACTTAAGATAGGTGCACTTTTTTAATACCGATTAACCCAAAATTGATTTGTGGAAACGATTTGAGCATTTCTTTACGTCTCTCTGCTTGTCCCTGCAGTTTCATATTGACCGAAGTGGTTTGGTGCGACCTTATTGAAAATGGGTTGGACCGTCACGTTCTGTCCCTTGTTTGCCGTCTTGTGTTAAATCCATAGGTCGCAAACTTTAGAAATATTTTGATAAAATTTGATACACTTTCATGTTTTGTCCCAACGACGAACGCTATTGGAAATGGCACGGGCAAGACTACTTTTTCGACCACTGCCTATATATCATCATTATTTTGAGAAGTTGTTATAAGAAACACTTAAGATAGGTGCACTTTTTTAATACCAATTAACGCAAAATCACTTTTTGGAATCGATTTGAACATGTCTGTACATCTGTCTGCGCGTTCTTGCATTTTCCTATTGACCGAAGTGATTTGGTGCGACCGTATTGAAAATAGATTGAACCGGACAATTTTTACGGCTTTGCTTAATTTGGGCCACAGGAGTTTACGTTTCGGATTCCCTCTCGCATAAGAATTACGATGAAGAGTATATCTCTAGATGAAAAAAAAGTTATAAAAATTTTGCTACGAAAGTAAATAAAAAATTACTTTACTCTGTGGGATATTTAATGGCCGATGTGCGTCTGACTATAACATGTTTACAACTGAAAGTTGATTTAAAATAACGACCGGACATCTTAATTTGATGCTATATTAAATTCATGGATTCCTTGCCATATGTAATAACAAAAGTGTATTGTTCGCTATCTTATGACGAAAATACATCAACAATTGTATTAAGTGTATTAAGGGTATGGGATATTTTTTGATGGTCTTTGCTCGACTGTAACATTATAATTTACTTTAGTTAATCATATTTTTCACATTTTTTTTTTTTACAATCTTTTAAATAATTTTTTAAAAAAACCTATCACTGATGAGTAAAGTCTTAAATTTAGCATAGGTTAGCTAAAGCCCCCATAAAAATGCGCTAAAGCGTAAAATTATTAAATGTGCAAGAAAAGAAAAAAAAAAGACATACTAAGAAAATAAAAAAGTAATAAAAAAAAAAAAAATAATGATAACTTTAAATGTGAAATAATTTTTTCACTTACTTTTTACTTCTTATATTTTATAACCACCAGCAGATGGCAGGGATTAATTAAATTTGACTTTCTCCTCGCCATATCGCCAAGCAGAAAATTCTCAACCAGCTGGTGTGTGTGTGTGTGCGTATTTTTTAAACTATGCGCTTGCATCAAAGTAATTCCGCTCATAAAAATTCTTCTAAATTTTTATGAGGTTAACTTGAAAAAAATTACTATGGTCGAAAGTACCAGCCCGTGAATATCAAATTTAAAAGTAATGGATGTAGGGAAAAGCACTGCAACCGTCTAAAAATAATAAAAAAAACTTAAGGGGGCGGATAGACAATGCATTCGTGTAAAAGTAGCACTTTTGAGACAATTTTATTTCGTCTACTCCTATGTCCGTCTGTCCATCTGTCCGACGGTGTAGTATTTTATGATAAACAATTTCCCGTTCGCAATAGTGAAAGTATCGCGTAGAAATTTGCAAGAGGACGTGAAAATTACCTCAACTAATCCAGGTAAGCGACTATAACACCCCCACGCCAATGCAATGTAAACTGAGAACACCTTTCCTTTCCGTGTTTTTTGTCTATTACTTATAATCTGCAACAAGCCTACGATAAAAAATTTCCAACTTTATCCCAAGAAATTGTACGCCTTCTACATACAGTTTGTTCCATTTTTTTACCTATTTTTTTAGGGTAACGATGATGGATATAAAAGATTCGATTAAAACCCATAAAACCGCTACTCCATAGTTTTTTCTTTAAGATTTAATGCTAAACTATGCCGCTTTTGATGGCATTGCTCAAAGGCGCAATACAACACATTTTACACTTTAAATGTTGCGAAGTAGAAGAAAGAAAACCAATTCCAACTAAATAATGAAGCAACATGCAGGCTAATGAATCGCTGTCAATTCTATATCTTCCATGAAAATGCTTTTAATTACAAAACCTCTGGGCAAGTTAGAGATCTACAAGCAATAGGCAGACATTAGAGTATAATCTCTCAACACGGATTGTTGCATTTCAAGCATAATTTTTTTTCGGGATAATCACTTTTTTTCCCTTTATTCGATAAGACTGGTGTGGGATAATCTATTAAGTCAATAAAAATATTTTCACCGGCTTTCTCCCTTAAGATTGCTGTGTTGTTTAGTATTTGCTCGAAAACCGCGAAAAGTGAGCATTTTCTACATTTGTATGCATGAAAAAAATGGTCATCGTTATGTGATCCAATATGTTCGCTTCAAACTTGTTAGTCCAGTCAATATTAATCTTCTCTCGAAAAGTTTTTCTCTCGCTTACGACATTACAATATCATGTGGAAGAGTTAAAGGACTTTGTGAAATTTCGAGCAATTGAGGCGAACACGTCGCAAATAGTGAATAAAATGACAGACAGTGAGTCAGTATTGATTGATAAGTGGAATGGTCAAAGCTGTGCGTACGATGAGTGCGGCGACGTAAGTGCATAGTAGAACAAGAACAGTGAACTACACATCCACGTTTACCGAAATCAAAGAGATAATGCCTCCTGCATAAGCCTCCTTAAGCACTCTATTCATCAACTTAAATCTTCTTGGAAAAATGGCTCTGTAATAAAAGGTTTTGTAGCCATGAAGAGGTGAAATTTACGGTTGATACGAACTAGTCACGCGGAAACTGTCCCAGTATAAGAAGAAGTTTTTTAACCTTTGGTCTATGTTTAAATGAAATAATCATATAGTAGGCTTATGTCAGTGAGAAAGTTGGCCATAAAGTCTTCTATTGACTCTGAATGCCTTGAAAACTAAGAGCACTATCCCATTGCAAATCATGGGCCGAAGTGGCTCATAGGTGGGGTTGGATGCGGAATCACTCAGGGATTATAATCTACCCGTTCGATAAGTAGATAAGGGCCCAAAAATAATAAAATCTGTACTTCGGATAGTTAGACAGACAGAGAGGATTACACTTTTTGCGTTACAAAAGCGAATAGTTTCTGTAAGTGACCGTCTAGTAACTGCCAATTTTTTTTTTTTTTTTTGAGATAAATTGTTGAACTTGTATAACAACGGACTTATTGCTCGCTTAAATAAGCCCTCCGCCGTTAAAGGTATTGTCGAGGCTAATGATAAGTAGAAGTTATTTCGAGAAATTTTACTCGCTATTAAGCCTAACCCATCTAGCTAGCATCTTCTATTCCCGCATAGATCCATAACGTAATCGCCTAGGTTCCCTAAATATTTTCTATTCTATTTGTAAATTTTATGCCCACGAGTTTCACTATTCCTCTTTCGTATAAGTCCTTGGATTTGAAGGGGGAAAACCAGTTTTTTTTTTCGAAATCTGTTTACAATTAAACGTTTGGCAAACTAAATAAGTGAGAAACTGATGTTCGGTCGTGACCGAATCTTTTATACCCATCATCATTAGCCTAAAAAAGACAATAATAGTTAGACAAATAAATTTTCATTTTCAACAATATGGGGTGGGCGAGGCTTTTTTTTAAATTTTCAGGATGAAAGTTTTTGCTGCACAGGCCGCGCAAATTTGTAGGCGATATCTTCATTTTTACGAACGGAAGGGTATTTACCACAGAGACTGTATACTTGGACAGAGGGACAGACGAACAAACGGACTTGTACGGTTATTTGCTGCGGTTTGTAGGTAACAAGCAAAAAACCAATTTTTTATTCCTTTTGAAAAACAGAGGTGTCCTCAATTTACGTTGCACTGTAGTCGCTTCCTTCAACCAATTTGGGCCATTTTCAATACAAACTGGCGCGCAAGAACTCCCACTGGTTGTGACAAAATTGAAGTAGCCTACAGCTTTGTTTTCTACACAAACGAATAGACAACCAGACGGATAGACGGACAGACAAACGTGATTCAATCGATTAAGAATTTGATGCTGAGCAAGAATATATATAGACTTTGTGGGGCCGCTGAAGCTCTTCTTTCTGAGCATTTCAAACGTTTTGACGAAATGAATATGCCGCTCATCCTTCGATAATGGTACGCAACACATATGCAGTCATGACTTATAAAAAATTGCAACTAATTAACACTCATTTCAAACTCATTTCTCAGGAATCGTAATGAGATCATTGTTTCATTTTATGTCAAAATGTATTCAAGTCATTTAACTTACCTTTCTTAATAGTGTTTTTTTTGTTCTTTCAGGTTAATAACCGTAAACAAGAGTTTTTTTGTAAATTTCCGTTATGTTTATCAAGTTTTCTTCTTTTTTTTTTTTTCATTTTCATAGATATACGCGACTATCTGAGAGCTTCTTTGGAACCTTCAGAATATGAAAATACTTCAACTATATTTTATGTAACGACAGCCGAAGTAACCGAACAGCTGCTAAATCGTTGCAATTCGCTGTTGCAGCGTCTAAACGATAGCAATAATGCGAAGAAAATTGAACAAGCAAAGCCATTAAAGAACGGTTCTGTGATGACTAATGATGTGGAAAATTATCATCAGAATCAGGCAAAAGTTAATAATAATTCTTTACACTACAATAATCATATAAATGTAAGAAACAACAACACGTCATCCGTTACATCGAACACATCAAATCAGAGTGGCTTAGCAATTCCTGAAACGACGGTGGATGATGTTTTGTATTTAAATATGTCGCCTGTGAATAACCAACGGAGCAGTAAGTTATTTGATTTAAATTTAAAAAAGAAGAAGAACACATTTTATTTAAAAAAAAAATTAATATTATTTAATTTTTTTTTTTTTTCATCTCTTAAAAGGATCATCTCCGAGAGAATTTAAGATTTTAGAATCCACAGATTCCACAGAGAGTATTAAATCTTTTCGGGATTCTTCGGCATCTTCGAAAGGAAATAAAAGTTTCTTATATCATCATAATCATATAAATTCGAGCATCAGGGCGAATGATTTTGTAGAAGAAAATTTAGAAAATGCTTTAGATGATTTCGACAATGATGATGATCCACAAATTTACGATATATGTCAGGTAACCACCCAGGGTTCCGACGGCGAAGAAGATTACGTTCTTGAAGAAACTCATAAGGCCATTCCGAATATCGATTCCGATTTTCCATTGGCCGGCATAGATTGCCCATACGTTGATCTACCCGCCGGTCATTTAGCTATTCAGACGTCCGCAAAGTAAGTATTATATTTTTTCCCATCACTTATTCTCATTAACAGTAAATATTATGTTTTTTCCCATCATTTATTCTCATTAACAGTAAATATGGCCAATTGCAACGTATAGAGAAACGTATATTTTTCGATCAAAGTAAGAAATATTATTGCGGAATTTTAAATGATTGGTTTTTGTGCTATGCCGAAGGACCCACCACTGTTAAGCCTACGATAACTTTGCACTTGAAAATGCCGGGTATCGAGATTGAACATTTTGGCGAAGGCAAACGGAGAGATGTCTGTTTTCAGATTTCCACATCCGATCCTAATAAACGTTTCGTATTTCAAGCCGCCAATGAAGTGGACGCCAAAGAATGGATCCATGCTATAGAAGCCGCTATACGTAATGATACGAATGGTGATAGCAACGGCAGCAATCATAAAATCAATGCACGTAAATCGTGCACAGCGCCAACCACAAAAAGAATCACCTTTTTAAGCAGTTTTCATAAACTGACGAACGAGAATAAACGGTTCAGTACGTTATTTAATACGATAAACGATTGCATTTATGAAGAGCCTTCACCGCTCTATCAGGTAAACGAGCCGTCAGAATTGTTAATAGATAAAGATGACGAAAACTCGGACTCTCCACCCGTATTGCCGTTAAAGCAAACCAGTCCCGCTGCTTTAGCTCAGAAATTTGACTATGATATTCCTACGCGCCCCGCACAACCGCTTAAATCTGGTGGTGGAAAATCACCAGAAATTGTTTTATTAACCACAAGTCCGGATACGAAGGCAAGTAGTGGAAACACTTCACCGGAACGTAAAGAACGTAAAGCTGTTGGTGTTGATAGCGAAGACGGATCAGATTTTCAGACCAAAGTAAGAGAGTTGCATAGTAAGCTTTCTAGTCAGCTAGCAGCAGGACCAAATTTAAAAAAAATCAATAAGAAATCGTATACAGCAGCCAATCAAAATGATTCGAATTCCCTGATTATCAACTCTTTGCCCTCCACCCCCAAAAATTGGTTATTTAGTCGCCTGAGTAAAACCACATCGTCTACACGAAGCTTTTCTTCTTCTTCTTCCTCCTCATCGGCAGCCTTAATTTCTCCTACTAAATGTAAAAGTGAGAAGCAAAATTTGCTCAACTTTGCAGACTCTTGTGAAAGTGGCGTGGGTGGCGGTTTCGACAGTATTGACTCGCATTTGAGCAGTAATCCGAATTCACCCATTTTAAAAACCAACTCTCCATTGCTAAATAGTGGCAAAAGTAAAGTAAATATGATTATTAATAAATTAGAAGCTACTGGCCACCAATTGCCATTCGGTGTGGATGTAGCGGTAGCATCGTTTAGTTCCTTTTGTGAAAATGACTGCAATAATTATGAAACCATTGTGACCAACACCTATTAGCTTGTTTGAAGAAAAATTTAACTGAAATCATGATTAAATAAAACAAATGCTATTTTAAGACTTTTTTCATATTTATAGCATAAATCTACGGTTTTCTATTTTTTTTTATTTTTTTTTTATGATAATAAAAGTAAAAAATGAATGTAATTAATTAAATATTATAAACTAATAAAGTAATATTTTTAAATTCCTTTCAATTCACTGTAGAATGCTGGATTTAATTGGCGTTTTCGTGCCCAGTTTCTTTAAGCATGCGCTTGTAGCTTCTTTAATTAGATTTTCGGTGAAATCGCATGCATTTTCACGCATCAAATAGAAATCTTGATGCGAGCGTAATTCGCTCATTCCGACAAAACCCTGCTTCATTGTATAGAGACACGATTCACGAGAATAAATGAACAAATATGCGAACAATTTACCACTTCGTTACGTGTTAAGTTGAGCCTTTTAAAGGGAGGTGAATTAAAGGCCGCAGCTAGTGGCGTCCAAGTTGTCACCAATTGCCGATAAGTGTTAAATTGGATTTGTAGTTGTTGAGTGATTGATGTGACTGTGTTTGCCGCAGAAATTTATAGATTTCAAGCAAAAATTACTGCTTGTGCAGTAGTTATATTTCTCTTTACTTTTTCAATGGTTTTTTGAATTAGTCGAAGCTTTCAAACTTAAGCGTAAAGTTCTTCAAACCTCAATTCTCTATCAGGATACATGCAATGTCTTTCAAACTGTATAATTCTACTACTTTTATGCAAGCAAGCTTGTATGGCGTACGATTTTTTACAACGCTTTCGCTTGTATATCAAGTTATGCCTCGTGAATATGTAAAAAGTGCCAAATTCAATGCTTGCGTGGTTCGTAATTGAGATTGAAAACATTTGAATGCGTGGGTTACTAAAGCCAATTACTGAAGCCAAATACGGCGTTTGCCTACACAAACCACAGAAGCGTCATGCATTTCACAATGTGTTGCCATATAATTCAATTGAAAAGTTATAGCGGCTGCCTACAAAAACATTGATAAGGTGCAAAAGCAAGAAAGAAATATTTCTATAAAAAGTACTCTTTTGATGCGAAAAAATTATTGTTATTACTGTACTTATTATTTTTATTACTTAGTTTAATTTTTAAAATTTCTTATTGTTATTATTAGTAAATAAACTGTAAGATTAAAGTCTTAAAGCACTAGCATTTAAGGCTAACGGCTTTATTGAAAGCTCCAGCGCATTTGAGATTTGAATCTATCACAATTGAACGTTTAGTCCACATTCTTTGCCTTGTCGAACATTTAAAGGTATTGTTCACCTTTTAATTCTATGTAATATTTTCTTTTTTCTGATCGTTGGTCACAGCATGTAAAACCGTATAATTACGTGTTGTACAAATTTTAAAAATTTGCTAAAAAAATGAGTCCACGCACAACGGAACGTAAGTTACATGTTCAACTACATTTAAATGCACACGATCAATTTTATTTTGACAGCTTACGTGTCAGGCACAATATATAACGCAATTAATAAAACGAAAAAATTAGAAATGATTAAAATGGTGGCGCTTGGGAAGCGCAGACTTTTTCATTTACTTTCATCATTGTTTGCTACGAGCTTGAATGTGAACTAAGAATTTCTGTCATTTAGGAGAGGTGAAGAAACCTGATAGTGAATACAAATGAAACATAGCCAAAGCTTTTTATTTGTTGTTCATTTCGGTGTGATTTAAATAGGAAAAATAAGTGCAGCGTTCTTGAAGTAAAATAGTAGACGATTGAAGTCCGATTGATACGACTTTAATAACTGGAGACCTTAAAAGGTTTCTCCTAGTTTTTAACGTTGGGAGCTTATTCTTGACAATTTGAATTATTAAGCGAAAATAAATAAATTATAATTCTTTGAGAGTCATGTAACTTCTTAGGCAATTTAATTGCCTAATCGTTACCCTGAGACGATACCTTGTCAAAGGAGAAAACTTCATCAGGGGCAAATTGGCTTTTAATGCAATAATTTCTTTGCGTTTCAAGGGTCTAATATTATATACATAAATAATGACATTTCTATGCCTGCAGTCAACTCATATTGTGTGCATACTTTTTGTATGCGTGCACTCCGTTTACAAACTCTAATGGGAGAAGACTATATGTGACCTTCAACATGTAACAATCATAAACGTTTAGTAGAATAATGAATTTTCAATCAGTGCAAGATTGTCATCCCATGTAGTTATGCTTGTCTGTAGACTCAAGCTTACTGGAACCTGATATTGTCGATTTGAAAACAAAAACCATTTGAGGAACCATCCACTGAACAAGTCCGCAGATTTTCAATTTATCAATTTTTAGCTGTAATAACACAGGGATGTAATTCAAAATGAGCCATTGTTCGATGTGACTGAACTTTACAATATCGCCGAAAGCATCACGCTATTATAAATACCACATTACTGGCAAATATCAAAGCATATCCAATGCGTTGGGTTGAAGGTTACATAAGCAGGAGCAGAAGAGGTACATCAACTGTTTTTTAAAGAATACCTTCACATTTTTTCTCTATGTCGTTAAACACCGAGAAAGAGACTGAGTTGTAATATAAAAAATACTTGGAGTAGTGAAGAAATCACGTAGGCTAGACAAACTCGCAATTCCTTCAATCTCTGTGAAAACAAAGCACTGTTAAACCTGTTTTTGTGCGGTGTTTTTTATGCGCTTTTTATTTTGTACATTTGGTTATACGGGGATTCGTTAGGTGCAACTTTCTTCTATGTGATACACGAACGTGTACAGACAAAGCAAGAGGGACGAAAAGTGTCCACAGGGTAAGTCCAGCAATAACTTTTTCGTATGTGGAGATATTGTCTCAGATATGAAAAATTGTAAACGAAGTTAAAAAGCGCAGAATGTTACAATTATTAAAATGTTGACTCCCGTCGCATCTATAAGAAATGTTCGAGCTAATTTTGAAATTTATACCCTAAACAATGTCAATTATGCCATCGGTGGTTTCAAGATATCAATGCAGCAAATAACAAATGGCATCTGTGACGAGATCTTTGTGTTATAGGCAATTATTGCAATCGTGTTAATTTGGCCGATAATAACATTTACAGTTTGGGTCGTGAAATTGGTGGCAGCAGTTTGCCTATCGGTTTCAATCCAAGAGAGCCACGATAGTATAAATCAAACGAAATGCCAGAAGGTCTACGGGAAGAATTTAAATTTGTTTCCCATTATCGTAAATTGTTAGGTATTGCAAAGCCAGCGCAGGCCTTCACATACGCACAAATAATTGCAAGACGATGCCTTCCAGGCTTTCTCAAAGCTCTCTATTTGCACCTCTTCCGGAATTTCGCTATTTTTTCAAAGTGTTTACAAATGTTATCATTCGTTTAAAAAAAAGGAACCCATGCAAAAACAAAATTGAAGTCCTTAAATACGACTCTGTGCGTGCGAAAATTTAGATAATTTAAATTTCTTTTGAGGTTATGTAAAAAAACATTTCCTATGTTAATGAAGAACAACAGCAAAAAATCCAATTGTTAAATCCAAAAAGAAAAATTGTTTAAAAAAGTGACTAAAACTGATTAAATTAATCAATAATTGTTTATTTCCTTTCCAGCTCAAAAATCGCGCGGCGTGCTTGCCGCCACTCGGACGCGGACCTGCGACGAGATTTGAGACGAAGCGAGGGCGGCGATTCTCGGCCAGAAGAGCTCACCCCTAGGCGTAGGCGCCCAAGAGGTGGGCGGCGCCAACCTGTAAATGATAATAATACATAAGTATTACTATGCATAAAAAATGTAAGTAATGATATTTATAATGATTTTAATGATAATTATTTTGTCATTATTTGTAGGTGAACCAAAACCACCATATCAACAACGGCTGACGTCAATAATCCGACTACGCCCCAAATTTATAATTGGACACTAGGTTTAAATGATTTTTCTAGTCTTAATAAAGTCTCTAAGCAGCAATTTATCTGTAAAAATTATTATCGGCTTGGGAAGCGGTAGGTAACTTTCGCCGAGATGATTTGTTATAACCTATCCCGATATAGAATGGATGCAACTCCATGATTCATTATATCGATCGATTTGGAAAGTGATTCTAATCTTGTGCGTCCGTCTTGTTTTTTTTTTTGTGTGGAACCTGCAGGCCGCAATTTTTGATATATTTTAATGAAAGTTCGTAGATTGACGTGGTTTTCTCTAAGGACGGAAGCTGTTGAAAATTTTATGGATCGGACCACTTCTTCGATCACTTCCCATATACTGTCACATTCTGAAAAGTCGTTACATGAATACCTTTAAAATGGCATATGGTATTTAACGGTGGGCCGTAGCCTACTATAGTCCTTTTACTGGTTTTTTTCACACTTGTCAGTCGTACGTGTCATAAAACCGGCTTAACAAACGTATATGTTCTAACGATATGTGTAGCTTATTTCGATTACATTAAGCGTTGGATAAGACATACGGAAGCAATCTATCTTATATTATCTATTGACATGTTGTAGCGCATTCCCCTTCAGTGTCAAACTCGAGTGTGCCAATTGATCTCTGGAAGTGTTTTTTGTACCTTACACCACTTGCGGTATAGTGTATATTAAACTTAGATGTTGCTCATGTCTTTGTTCTGCTTGTCGGCTTATTAAGCTAGATACAACTAAAAATCCGAACATTACTGGTTCCACATAGTTCTTGGTGACAATATCTTATCAATGTTTAAAAGACGATTTCTCTTCGCTCTTAGTTCCATCCGTTGATACTGAAACAATTATAAATATTGTGACAATACATCCTCTGGTGTAGAAGAGCTGTAGTCATACATTGTCATTGTAGAGTAGGTCTGCTATAAAGAAAGTGGATAATAGAAGTGGAATCTTTGCCTAAATTTTATAACTTATATTGAATAGTAAGGTAATGAAATTTGAACATATAAATGATCTCAATCAAATAGGGACTATATTCCTTGACAAATCCTTCTATTCGTCTATTATGTCTGCACTCCTATATGAGACTCTAATGCATATGCACGTATACTTACTACCTTCACGCTAATACATATCTTAAATTGCTGTTGTTACTCATTGCTCTGTATCAACTTAAAATTATTCGATAAATAAACAAAATCCCAAAATATATAAAATAATAAAAATCTTCTGAAAAATAAAGTGCCACAAAATAAAATAAGAAGCCAATTAAAAAACAAGAAATATACAAAACTTCTCATGAAATGATTTTGGTTACGTCGCAGACACGAGAGGACGCAAAGTTAACCATCAACTTTCTTAAGGCTCGTGTAAAGAACTTTGTGCTTGAAACTGTTCTGTACAGCCCAATGAATCATCTATTGTTGAAGAAAAATTATTAAATGAAAAATAAGTAAGAACGTTATAGTTGGGGTCTGATTTTCATCATGAAGTGTTGAAAATTATACCTTTTTGTCATGTGTACTTCAGTTTCGTTACATGAGATAGAATTTTATTCTATGTTACAACATTCCAAAATATGAGGGTAAACTGAGAACATGTATCATTCGCAATTTTGCTCACTTCACGTAAATTACAACATTGGTGAAACGAGTTTTATTAGCGTGCCGTTTCTTTAAACCGCTGTTTCCATTACCGTCACTAGCATTAGACTTCTCTTTAGCTTTAGCAGTAACGGCCTCTACTCCAGACGTTTCAGTAGACGGATGGGAACACATTGCTATATTGCATTATCTGTGCATTATCCCGGGCCAAAGAAAGTTTCGACTATTAATAGCATATGTGGGCCGTGATAAGCACCAAGGATAAGGCAAACATTATGGATAAAACTGCGATTGCTGCGCTACGTATACGTAATTCCCAAAAAGGACGATGTAACAAGGCAATACAACGTTCAAGCCTTTGTTCGGCAATTGTGCTACAAGCACATCATCAAACCCAAACGAATGGTTGGTTTTCAAAATAAATGGTTTCGTAATACGTGTAACAGTGAAATCCGGCTGAAAAGCAATTTCAATCCTACGTGTACCGTTCGTTTTTAACTCAAACGGCGAACAATCAGCTATACTAAAACCATAACCGGTACATGCTGATCATGTATGAATATTCCTTTTATCCAAATAGGTAATTCTCCAGAATTACGAGCCGTAAAGACGCGTTTTGCCAGAAGGTGAAACGTCAAAAACGAACATATAAATCAATTTTATTCTTATTATTCATATGAGAATGTACCTTGCGTGCGACATCCACACCAACCTTAATCGGATTTTGTGTCGCAGAACAAACGCGTTCTATTTGCAGTTCGCTTCTTTCAAAGAGGAGCGGATTTAGTGAGCCGGGCTTGCGATTACTTAAACGAAATTGCGATTGGACTATCTTGGCACTAAGCCAGATAGCCTCATATATGGTTAAATTATTGCGTACATGCAGCAGAGTGCAATAAGCTCCCGTAGTGTGAGAACGAAATATAACGGGGCCTGAAACGCTTGCTCCCGTGGGTATTAGTAACGGCTTTTCAGGAGGATTGTTGACTAGAGAAAATAGCGCTTTACCTGTGAGATAACAACTTGGTGCAATTACAATAACTTCAAGCGGTGAAGAAAGTTGCGTTTGCTTTGCCAGTGACGGATCAGCTAAAAAATAATCAACGAGTAAAGGAGTGTCGGCCGGATTCGTGATTGTTACGACATACTCCTGTGTTTTATTTACTTCTGTGGTAGGCAGTACAGCAGCACTACCCATTAATTGTAGCCATTCTAGTTCAATGATGAGATTGATTTGAAATTGAACTGAATCTTTCGTGGCCATCATAAAATCGATATTCTGAAAATAGTATTTGAAATGACGATACAATTCGGTCCGTCGTCTCAATTCGACTTCATCAAAATGAGGAATGTGATGATTATTGCCTTCAAAATTGTTAAGAAACGTGACCACCTCATCTGTATAAGGAAATATGCAAGAACGTGAACCGCGTAAGAGGGCCAGTTCGAAATAAATTCGTCCAGCAGTAGTAACTGTTTCAGGAGATATTTTGGAACCATATTTCTGGACATCTTCAAATCGAAAACCCGGTTCCATAAAATTGATACTACGGATGTGCAAAGGATATTTGTAAATTGAACGTATCCTCAGTTCGAAAGAGCAAAGTTTACCTTGAAATAATATCGAAAAAAAGACGATTACCATATTAGTGAAGAAATTGCCTTCAAATTAATCGTAGTCTTTAATAATATTGAAAAAAAAAAATGGCCGAATTGAATAAGACCTGTTTGTCTCCTAATGAAGCATAGAGTTTAATATTTTTGCTAGGAATTTACGAAATTTTTCGCTAACGGTCTCCTATTACTTGTAATACGTGCAGAATTAAATTTTATCTCATACGTTTACACTCTTTAATATTACTCAATGAATAACTTATGTATTCATCGTCTGCACCGGGCTACGGCAAAGTAATTTTGCCAATTAATATAGCGGAAAGGAATTGCATATATATATTATATCTGGGACGGTTATAGAACTTTCAACGCAAATGAAAATATAAAAATATGATTGATATAAGATGAATAAAATAAATATATAGTGAGTAAACCATGTTTGCATATAAAACAGTGTTTAGAGCATATCATTTTTATAATAAAACAAATAAAATAATTGTAGCTGTGGTAGCCTAGACCATCCTGACGTTATCCGAACTTTGAAAATAAGGTGTTAAGATGTAATCGAAATAGTTTGTCCAAACTGAACTATTTTCAAAACGTATTAGTGTATCAAATTTTATAAAAATGACTCAAATGTCGCGGCCTGTAGGTTGAACACGAGACAACGACAACAGGCAGACAGACAAGCTTAGATCGTTATAATAGAAGATGGGTCTATATAAAGTCGTTTTAATTGTTGCTTACATTCGTACAATCTTAATATATCCTTTTATCGTGTAGAGTATATAAAAATACTCACTTTAAATGGTGAATGAAATCCATAGATCTTAATGAAAGTTAGTCAACGGATGCAGCTAAGTCTTTCTCTGTTATGATATGTAATACCGTGATTAAAAGTTTCACATTAACTTATGCTTAAACGGTGCGAATTTTTAAGTTAGTTTATGAAACCAATTTATGCCGCTTGGCTGCTACAAACATCCCGTAATAAGCGTTTTCTATTCACCTCATAGCCAGACATATTTTATAAAAAAAAAATTTAATCAAATTCAAACGAATAATTAGTTTTCTACTTGTGCAAAAACGGGAAAAATCGAGCATGTTCTGTGAATATATCGGGAAAATATTACAGGTTTGAAATATACAACTGATTTTAAAGATAGATTAACACACAATGCACCCATACCGCTAAAATATCAATTGATTTCGTTATATATTTAAATATTTTCAATTCCAATTTGGTACCTCAAAGATTATATTGTAAAAATAGTTTATTTTCACGACTTTTTCAACGTTTTTTCCCAAAAATATTTAACAGGCAGCAAAAAAATAAAACCACATAGATAATTAGTATAACAAGGAAAAGCTGCAGCTAAAGATAGCAATCACAAAGGAAACTTTGTAGACGATTTACGATAGGTACTACGACTTACACTTATGATCAAAAAAGTTACTACTAACCTGACTGTTCGATACGTTGTCCCCTTTCTTGGTTGCTTTCAAATCGTGTTGTAAGCTGTTAAGAGGACTTCCAGAAATTTAATTTCCAAATGCACAGTCGTTTGATGTAGTTCTGTTGGTTCCTCGGAATCCACAGCAAATTGATTGGCCTCCTTTGGGCGATACCAGTCTGCTGCAGGTGATCGAGTCTTTTTCTTTTCCTCAGGTGTCGGCGGCAGCGGAGGTGGCGTTGCCATCCTAACATCTTTATCTGTAGTCAAGTTCATGCCAAGAGGCAATCTAGAAGTATCTTCGAATGTCTGTTTTTTCGGGCTTATCAAATTTCTGCATATCATCACAATCGTAAAATGCGAGCTGCTGTTTCTGTTTCAGTAATCCCATCAGTTTTTTCTAAAAACGACAATTTAAATAATTTCACATAAATATGACCTTTTTCATCAAAAGGATTTTTTCCTCTTTTTTCTTAGAAAATAAATTTTTTTGGTCAGTCTTTTCAAGCATATCAAAACTTACAAATGGAGGTTGCGAAAATGAGCGATGACAATGAAAATTCCCGTTAAGTAACGCTTCTTCTTTTTGTTCCTTTTCATTAGTGTTATTAAGCTACAAATGCGTTATAGCGTTTTTTGTATTAAATTTTTACGATCTTAGAAGTGGCGACGCATTTGCAATAAAACAAATTAGCTTTTTTATATTGGAAAACGGCGTTTGTAGATTACGGGCAAGTTCGGAGGAATGAAAAATTATGAAGGATTTGCTGAGATTTGATAAATGACCTTGGGATTAAAATTGGCAAAACACAATTGAGGAAGTGTCTTGTAAGTACTAGATAAGCATAAACGTAATTATAAAATGATGTTCAAAATATACTGAGACTTATCGTGCCCCTAGGGATGACTGGTGGATTATCATTTATAATTGGGCAGCTTGTTGAGAAAAAGAACTGAAATTTTTGGTTTTTACTTTTAATTTGATCGCTATATTATTTTTAATTTGCTATATTTGAAAATGTGGCCAAATCGGCCGCAATTGACACAGTTTAACAGCAGTGATAAAATACTCCACTGGGACAACACAGTAATTGAGTTTGATGTTTTTGGGGATTAATTTCCCTTAAAAGTCAATGTTCATCCTGTTTTTAGCTCGTGACGCAAACGATCACAACTTCGGAAATAGCAGAATTCAAAAAATCTTCCTCCTTAATTGAAGGAGGGGTATTTTCCACAAACCCGTATTTTTCAGTAGATTATTAAAATAAAAATGTAGTATTTAAAGCTTTTGTTTTGTACTTGCCGTTGGTGTCGTTTCTTAATTCGTCTATTTTGTTTCACATTTATTTTTCAGGTTCTTGAATTTATCTCAATTTATCTCTCTTTTCCTAGTTTCTTATATAATATAACTAATTCAAATAAAATAAATATGTTACCATGGTCAAAATTCCAGACAGTCTGTTCAGTCCACTTTTCAAAGAATATCCGGACTTATGGAATAACAATAGAGGGAACAATTTGTGTAGGGATACCTGTAGAAAATTAGCCGCCCGACTGACGCAGGAAATTGAGGACTTAGTTACCACTCAAGGCGTAGTTAAGAAAATTTACGCGATTAGACATAGCTTGAAAAGGGTTGACAGAAGACGGGGCGGTCAGACCAGGATGACGGACTACACCTGGTACGCCAGAAAATTGGCCCTGGCGTGGCGGGACGCACTATTACGGGACATATCCGTGACTGCAAAAATATATAAATTGACAGCGAAGACGAGGAACCCTTTTTAGGATTCAAATTAGAAATAAATCAGGTGACAGGACAAGTGGAAATAGGGGGCGAACAAATAAATCACATAACAGGACCAATAGAAATAGGGAGGGAGGAAGATAATATTATGACCCACACCGAAGACAGCTCAGTGGGGACTGACGATGACCAAAGAACAGGAAAGACAGACGAACCAACGACCATGGCAAAATTAAGAAGTCCAGATCTTTTTAGCGAAGATATTTATATAAGCGACCCAATGACATCAGACCATGCGCGTCTAATAAAACAGCTGAAGGAAGCTAATGCCGAAAAAGAAATACAAAAACGTCGCATTGCAGCTTATGAAGGCCAGCTGGAAGAAGCTAATGCCGAAAAAGAAATACAAAAACGTCGCATTGCAGCTTACGAAGGCCAGCTGGAGGACGCTAATGCCAAAAAAGATAACCTAAAACGTCGCATTGCAGCGTACAAAGAACATGTGGAACCCCAACCTGATAGCGGGGTGCCGGACGTAGGAGAACTTCAGTAAGTCGTCAAGTGTTTGACGCTAGAAGACAAAATAGTGCAAATAACTTTCGACGAAGTGGTTACAAACAACCTCGCAGTGTATTCGCGAAGGACCGATACGCTAATAGGATTCCAATACGTCGACGACAAGCAGAAGGAAACCTACCCGTATAAAACAATGCTTGTCTTCGGCGTAAGAAGCCTGGCGACAGCTTTCAACCTTATTTTAAGCGTAAACCCTCCCCCTTCGTCTTCCTAAATATTGCTAAATCGATTCGAAAGAGGACCAGATCGCCCCCCGAGATCGTGCAGTTGTGCAACCGCCGGAGAAATCTACAGGTGTTCAAATATAAAACCGGATTTAAAACAGACAATGACTACCGGTTAACAAACCTCCTTGATTATGAAATTGAAGAAGAGCCCGAAGCAGACCACGCACCGCTCGGGCTCGATGGAGAGGTATTTAAGAATCTCCAAAAACGTAAACTTAAATACCACGAAATAAGATTTCTCAAACTGCACACGGCCTCAGGATTAAGTCACTATATCTGTGAGCAGCTATATTGCAGTCACTGCCTACACGACATGACGGAGGAGGAGCGTGACTTCTGCAAAGAGGTGATGGGTGAGAAGATGACGAAAGTCCTCATAGACACCATCATCCTAACCAACAAACACATCAAGCCGGCATTCCCAAAACCAGTAGTGAAGGATGCATTCGACGCTGCTTATGAAATTTTTTATACTGTGATGCGCAAGTATATGCTCGAGGTAGATATAGGGAAACGCATACAAGCTATAGTGGTGGCGAATATTGATTTCTTTAAATCAGATGGATAGTGCGTTACCGGCAGGATGCACCGACGAAATTTGCTTGGTTTCATCCTGACTATGCTGCTAAAAACGAAAAACTGCAGAGAGTCTATTGACAAGAACGTATCTTCGCACAAGTAATTCAAATTTAGCATAAAAATGTTGATACGTTACTAACTTATATTCTAATTTTTCTTTGCAGATAAACAAGAAACGATCCACCGTCGCCAATCTCCCATAAGCCACTAAGGCACACGTCCGCACTATTGCTTCAGTACAATATAAGATTGCCGTACGCCAAATGGTAAATCAACTTAATATATAAAATTTTGTAACTAAATTATTTTTCTTTTGCAGACGAAGATGTTAATAACAGCCGCGCAGCAAGCTACTTTTTAATTATTTTGTAAATATTATTGTAAATATAATTGTAGTTTTTAATATAATGGTGTAGGCCTACCGGGGAGCCAACCATATAAAATAATTGGCAACGCGCCCACACGGTACCTCTAAGGTGGTGCGCAAAACCGTTAGATGCCTCAGTTAAAGAGTTGAGAAAGTCTTGCATAATTTTTGAAGAGCTATTCTCCCAATTGGATATATAATTTATATAAAAATGAATGCATTGCTTCAATTGAAAGTAAAATTAAAACGAACAGTCACTTAGTACTGTAATATAATTATTTAATAGATTAGAATTATATACAATTATAAAAAGATTAATACATGTTCGTTACATTAGTTTTTTTTTTTAATTTTTTTAAAAACCTACCTTAACATACAAAACATTAATAGATTCCTAGTAAACATTCTTTTAAAAACAGAAACTCATTCTCTTTCATAAACTTTCAAAAAAAAAAAAAAAAAAAAACCAAAAAAAAGCTTAAACATAAGCAATTTTTATAGAATGAATAATTGAAGTGTTGCAATACTTTGAAAAGAAATGCACGTCTTAGGCTGTAGTCTTGCCTTTCAGCAGCCAATCCCGATATAAGACTTCATAAGCGTACTTATCGCTGATCATCTGGTATGGATGAATCGATTTAGTTAGTTTCCTATTCCTATTTTTACCCGTTAGCCCTAGTTGACCGTGCTTTTAACACCCCTACGTACTAAATATCATCAGAATGTCCCAAAAATTATGACCCGTAGGTTGAAACCGAATTACTTAGTAGATGTTTCCTGTTCATGTAAAAGTGAAACGATCAGAAAGACGTAATAAAAGCGAAAAAGATGAGGCCGCCGCCTAGAGAAATGCACGTCTTAGGCTGTAGTCTTGCCTTTCAGCAGCCAATTCCCATGTAAGACTTTTTTTATCACTATTTGAGTTTTTTCATATCAAGAATTAATTCCAAATAATTTGCCATCTTTGCATAAGGTTTTGATTTTAATTAATAAAGATTAAAATTTTATTGAATCACAATTGGATGAATACGCGGAGGAATGAATGAATTAGCAGGTGGGCCGTTAAATGGGCTACTATATACTGTTTATTTTTCAGTATTGCTTTCACTCAAAACCGCGTTGGATATGATATGATGATATCTATTTTATCAAAATTGACTTTAAATAATTTTCCTTCATGTTAAAAGCGAGATTGAATTAGTTTTTATGTTCTGATTATTTATTAAACATCATAATATTTTAGGATTACAATCAGAATCTTGTTTTGTAAGCAAAATTCTTATATGGACTTGGCAACTCCATTAAAACAATTGAATTTTATAAAATTTACGTAAGAAATGCAACGCTGTCTCTCAGTTTATACTGCTGCCCTCTAACATAAATTCTTGTCATTTTAATTTGAATTTTGTTGTATTTCAACTGCAAGCAGCAAGATTTCTTGCTGATAATTACTAAAAAAAAAAAAAGTTTTTGTAAGTAACATTTTTATTAAGAAAACATAAAAAGCATAAAATGGATTCCTTTACTCAGGTAATTTTCCCAATGCGGCCTCCGAATAAAGGCCGAAAAGTTTTCGTTAGCAAAAAGCAAAAAAAAAATGGATTACCTTAAGTCTCAAACATGTTTTTTTGTTTAAAACTAGCAAATGCTTCAAAAAAATGAAAAGCGAACACGGCCATCAGGAGCAGCTAGCGTCGTCGATATCAGTTGTTGCTCAGCCGAAGTCTCGTCAAATACAGGGAGTAATGTTTGCACAGAAACAATGGCCGTAGCGGCAGATTCACAACATAAAGAGCTACAAAAGCAAAAAAAGCGGTGTTACACTACCTTACATAGCGGCAGTGATATAAATAGATTGCAGGTAATTGAGGAAGAATCTAATGAAACTAATAAAGCGGGAACTTACGGAAGCGCTAATGCTGATTGTACGTCGAAAAAGATTTTGCGTCAATTCGCAGCACTAGATAAAGAAAACATGGGTTTGGGCATTGAAATTAATATAATGAAGGATAAGCATGTAGATG